CCTTGGGCCAAGAGTGAATTTTTCTTTGCTTGAAATTTTTTATTTCCACACACTTTGGGCATCTCTTAATATACTCCTCTACATCTTTTTAATACCCTGGCCACCAAGCTTGCAACTTTAGTCTTTTTTACATCGATATTATGCTACAATGCACATCATCATGAACTCCTTTTAATATGTCCCTCCTCAGTATTTGTGGAGCTACAATTATATCTCCACTACATATTATGCTATTTTCTATGGTCAGTTTGTGTTTTGTTTCTTTGAAGGGTCACTCTGCCATCAAACAATTGCTCCATACATTATTTCTCTTCACTATTCTGCTTAATATTGGGTCTTGCTCTGTCTCTATTTTGAGTCTATTTAGAGGAAGAATATCTTTTTAAACCCAGTGTATTATTTTGTCTTCTGCCGTTTCCTGTTTTTATTCTGCTTCATACTTGATAACACATCTACATGAGGGATAGTGTTTCCTTTTACATATATTATGTCAAAATCAAATGCCATGATCTTTATCGCCCATCTCAAAATCCTTGACGATGTTACTTTTGGCAATTCTTTTCTCAGGTTTAATATGAATTCCAATGGTTTGTGGTCCAATTTTAATACGAATTTCTTTCCTGTAAAAAAAATTTGTGTCCTTTCCATGCTCTATATGATTGTTAATGCTTCTTTTTCAATATTTGGGTAATTAATCTCGGCTGATGTTAACCTTCTTGATATGTACATGATTAGGTGTTCTTCTTGCGATACGATAGCAGCAATCGTCTTTTCACTCATGTCTGTGGTTAATGTTACTTCTTTTTGTGGATCAAAAACTTTTATTATTGGTTTGCTCCTCAGTATTTTCTTTACTGTTTCAAAAGTGAGTTTGCTTGTGTCCGGTTAAATTCATTACTTTTCTTGCATAATTTTGCAAATGGCTCTCTTACATCACTGTATCTTGGAATGTATTTACTATAAACATTTATCAGCTCCAAAAAGGATTCTAACTCTTTTTATTTATTGGAGGAGCTATTTCTGTTATTTTCTTTGTTAATCTCTCGTCAGTGATATGACTTCTTTCGATATTTGATATCCTAAATATGATATCTTCTTGCAGTCAAAACTACATATGTCTTTGATTATAGTCATGCATGCCTTGTTCAATGTCACTAAAATTTGCTCTGTTTTATACTTCACTTCTTCTCTGGTTCTTGCCCTACATATATTGTCCTGGTATATTATCATATTTTTTATTTTTCCTAATAAGACTCTTTCAGTTGCTTTCTGAAAAAAATGACTCAACGTCTTTACTCCAAATGGTAGATGTGTCCATCATAGCAAGCCTATAGGGGTGTTTATTGTAGTTACTTCCTTGAATTTTTCATTTATTTCTATTTGGTTGTATGCTGCCTTGAGATCAATTTTTGCTAAGTGTTCCATTTTTGCTAACTTGTGGCTTGCAGTTTCAATATTTGGCAATGGAAAAGAGTCAGAACATATCTGGTGATTTACCCCTATCTCGTAATCACCACAAATCCTTAAATCTCCATCGAGTTTCTTTATCGCTACTATCGGTGATGCCCAATTGCTACCACCTTGAGTCACTCTTTCTAGTATGCCTTGTTGTATCATTTTGTTTAACTTGGCCACTACCAAAGGTAGGATATGAATTGGAACTTTTCTCAACTCTATATATTTTGGGTGATAATTCTCTTTTAGTCGAATACTTGCTTTAAAGCCTTTTAACACTCCAATTTCATTTTCTTTTGCTTCCATAGGATTGATTAATTTTGCCATATCCACTTTTAACACATCAGTTCCTAGTAATCTATGATCTTTTTCACATTCTACCACTGTAATGGTAATTATTTCAAAATGCGTATCTGTTTCAAAATTGCCTTGAAATGTAACCATTATTCTTATAGTTATTCCATCAAATTTCTTCTATTGGATGTTGCTTATTTTAATTTAGGCCATCCATATTTGACACAGAAATTTTTTGGTATCAGTGTGACTTCACTGCCTGTATCAACTTGCATGTTAAATATTTGGCCATTTATCCTTATTTTTTCTCTGCTTCTTTTTTACGTATTCACTGTAAATATTTCAGCCTCTTCTTCGGAGGGGTGTTTGTACTTTTTGTACTCTGTTTTCTTTTGTATTTGCATATTTTCTGAAAATGGTCTCTTTTTTGCAATTTGGGCATACTTTTCCTAATGCGAGAAATTTGTACTTGTCTCTCTTGTGATTTTTCCCACAATATCTACACTTAATTATAGACTTGGTCATGCTCGTCCTTTATGCCTTGAATTCTTCTTTTGGTTGATTAAATTCTCTAATCAACTCCAACAGTTGTAAAAATTTGATGCTAGCCTCCAAACTCATGTTACTACTTTGTGAACCTTCCTTTCGTTTGTGGTTCTGGTCTTGCAATCCTTCATTTATTCTGAGAAGAATTAATTCATCTTCTATGGTCATTTCCTGAGTTCCCAACTTTTCAAATTCACAATACTTAGCACATTCTTTTAATCTATGTAAATACTGTATAATGGACACATTTGGTGCTTGTCTTGTCTCTAAAAACTTGGTTCTTTCAGCAATGACTAATCTTTTCTATGGTCTTATGTTCTTTTATAACTTTGACAATTTCTTCAAATGTCATTTCTTCTAATTCGCTCTGGTAACATATTGTCGAAAATTTCTTCACTGCTTCACACCCAGCAGTAGCAAGAAATAAATCTGTTATCTCAGTTTTCTCCTCCTTCAGTCTTGGTGTCTCTTAATTTTTTACTCTTGCAAATGCAACAAAAGTTCTGATCCATGTCTCTATGTGTTCTGGATCTTTCATCTCATTCAATCCTATTGGTGACACCATTGTTACATTGCGCATTTCTCTCTGGGTAGTAGCAATCGTATACACAGTTCTCCACGTTACATTTTACAAACAGGTTCACTGACTAATGCCCCGTGTTCACCCTCTGCTCTCTATTTATGTTGTCATTCTCATTTGCATTTGATACTACAGTAAAAGGTAGTGGAATGACAAGGATAAATCTCCACAACTGACCACAAAAGCTAAGCTCCATGAAAGAAAGCTAATGTTGTGCATTTGGTGGGATTGTTGGAGTATTAGTCATGTAAATTTCTTACACAGTGAAATACTAAATGCACATTTATACATACAGTAGCTGCAAAATGTCCATTAAAGTTTGGTCAAAATGTGCCCTACAATCATCAATACAAAAATGGCAAGGCAAGGCTGCATACAGCAAGAATAACACAGGAAAAAATTTGGAATTTGGCTGGTCTGTTCTACACCACCTGCCATATTCACTTGACTTTGCACCAACCAATTATTAACTTCTTTAGATTACTGCAAAATACTTTAATAGAAAACATTTCTCTAACAGAAACCAGATTTAAGAGTTTGACAAGAGCTTTTTCAGGTTAAATCCTGTGACATTTTTCTCAAAATGTATCAAAGAGATTACAAATAATGGTAATGGTAATATTAACCATTTCATTATAAGGAAACATTCGGTATTTTTTGTTTGAGTAGCCAATGCTACCATCAGTTAAAATTATTAAATCTTTCTTTGGAAACAGTCTATCAGGAAAATAGGTTTCTCAAGTCTACAAGCTATTATTGCTCTTTACTGTACTGATGGGGACTTCCTTCCTAGCCTTTTGTTTGAAAGTGTCTGGAATGTTAACATCTTAATTATATCATTATTTTTTCTTTGAGTTAGATGTGCTACCCAATTTTCTCGTTATTGTGGAAAGTCATCTATTAATGAGGTTTCTGTTATTTGGCATAGTACTTTGTAATTTTATAGTGCCAGCCCACTACTATGATCTACAGGTTTCATTCAAAGCCATGGATCTGAGAAAGTGATTATATGCATCTAACAGTTTAGATATTTCTGAACAGGTTTGATGCCATGCATGACATCTATATGAAAGTCTCAATCTGATAAGACTATTTAATAACAGGATTTCAGTTTTATGTTCATGTTTTGGTTTTGTATCAATTTGCAATATCAGACAGAATTACTTCTAATGCAGTCTATTCTTTGTTCAATTTCCTTATCTTCAATATTAAATTTGTTATAACTGATCCATACACTGAGCTATTTGAACTGTTTAGTATTTACTAATTCCACATACTGAATTTTTATGATGGATTCTGGCTATGTTCCAACACTGCTTTCATTCCAATTCCAGATCATGTTTTCTGTTTTAGAAAAGTCCTATTTCTTAGAATACTAAAACACTTGGTAGAGGATGTTGAGTTTTTGTTGAAGATCATTCTTATCCCAACTATGAATATCTATGCCATCAACATAGTCCTAAACTTTCCTTCTCCAAAAGGCAGTACCTGGGAGAGTCCATGCATGTGTGGGTAAATTACCATAAGAGAAAGAAAAGCAGGAACAATGTTTCCTATTCATAGATTTTTGGGGGGATGTGGTATGGAATACTTAAATTATCAGTTACCATCACATCACATATGTGTTTGTACATACACAGAACATATCTTAAGAAGAGATTAAATTGAGTGTTGGATTCAGAGAAAAGGTAAGCTATGGTGAAAATATAATTGAATAAAATGTAATTGTACTATATTTTTTTCAGAATAAAATTAATAAACTAAAATGGACATTTTTTATGGCTAACTCTCTCTCTCTCTCTCTCTCTCTCTCTCTCTCTATATATATATATATATATATATATATATATATATATAGTAAGGTAATGAAGGGTTTGGTAATCCATATGGATAATTTCAAAAAGGATGTAATCAAGGGACCTCAATGTAACAACAGAGCAAATATTAATTAATTAAATGAAAAAAAACATTAATATTTGTACTGTTGTTACATTGTTCTCTGGATTATATCCTCTTTGAAATTATCCGTTAAGCATGGCTGTTTTTTAATTTAATTAATTTACACACACACACACACACACACACACACACACACACACACACACACACACACACACACATGTACACATAGATAGATAGATAGATAGATAGATAGATAGATAGATAGATAGATAGATAGATATAGTTTTGTATATATTGATGTTTGCAAAATAACTAAAAAACAGTCTTGAAGCTTTGATGAAAATCTACAAAAAAATGAACAGTGAGAATTTCTACATGACTAAATTATTTGTGTCTGTCAAGTTATTATTTTCTGATAATTGGACTTTCTTAATTCACTGGGACCAAGTCTAATGCAAAATTATATTTGAGAAGCATAATGGTAAGATCCTTGTATATATATATAAAAATATTGGATCACCATGCATGAAAATTTAAATACTAAATTAAGGAATTTTTTTCTTCTCCAAGGCATAAATATTTGTAAAGAGAGATTTTAAAATTTTATAATTAATTTAAATATTGAATTTAAAAAAATAAACTGTTATAAAGTAAATCTGTAAGGTCATTTTTTGATTTATTTTAAATTTAACTGAAAACTATTTATATGTAGTTAATATAGTATAACAAAATAGAACTATAGAATAAATAAAACAGATCATTTTGATTGAGAATACACAGAAAATTCTTTCATTTTATCATTATAATTATTATTTTACTGTATTATTTTTAACTGTGAATTATCACTTTACCATCATAATCATTATTATTAATGTTCCTGGTAATACTAATACTACTACTAATATATTTACTATTTCACTTAATTTATTTCATTGATTTAACTGCAATTCATTTCCAATTTTTGTTCATCAAATAATTCTCTGGATTCTACAGTTAAAGTAAATAGTTGATGAAACAAACATAGGTTAATTATACAACACTTGTGAAGCTAAAATCATTTAAAATAAAAAGACTTCAATCAATAAACACTACATAATATATATTTACTAAGATTATCTTAATAAGCAGAAAGACTATATTGCAGCATTCTTCTAATTGAGAAGGTGTGCCAGATTTGAAAGTAAATATCATCTGGTTCACACTTCTCCTCAGTTTTTTGAACTGAAGCAGAGGTTTATCTTATGTTCCTGTTTATGATTGAGATTTCCAGTTCTTTATAAAGTCATTTCATTCTTTTTCACTCTCAGTAGCCCCTTGCATCTTAGTGGCATTATTGCCTTGCATGGGACGAAGTGATAAAAAAAAAAATCAAAATCTTGGGTTTTATTCAAACAGTGATCAGTGAGACTGATAGTAAATATGCAACTGTCTTAATCACAAAGTAGGTTAAAACTGAACAATAATAATAATAATAATAATAAAAATATTTTCCATGAATATAGGAAAACAGAAAAATTAAACAAATTTTAAAACAATAGTATAACAGAAAATGGACATTTAATGCACAACTTACAAAAATAGAAGTTTGTAAATTTTTGAAATGACAACATCATCATATATTTATTAGGCACATATGAAATTTGTGACAAATCTTTTTCCTTGTACTTGTTTGTGGAAGAGAATAAGAGACTCAAGGAAAGTTGTCATTGACAAAGTTCATCATAGAATGTCTTCAGGAATTGGTTAATAAGAAAAACCGAAGAAAGTAATTTTACTGAGAAGAAGAAGATAAGGATGAAAACTTTGTTTGTCAATAACAAGCTGGTTCTGATGAAAATGTAATTGTGGAGTGAGACATCCAACTTTTAAGAGGATAATGACCATGAAATTGATGCAGTATAAGTGAAAGATAGAAGTAATTGTAAAATTAAAGAATTGTTAGTGGAATGTGGGATCAATAGAATGGTTAGGGTGGAAAACACTCTAGTGAGGGAGCAGAGATACTGGCTGGAGTGGGTAAGTGAGAGAAGAGAAATAGAGATAGTGTATGATAGGAAAGTATATAACTAGGAAACAAGCAAAAAGAGAGAGTTTAAATGAAAAAAGTGAAGAAATACACTAACTGAAAACCAATATAGAAAAATAAGGTTGATTTAACAAAATTAATAATATAGTGATGGGATATTTAAAGAAATGGAAAAGAAGAAAAAGAAGAAATAAAAGGCAAATGTTTCAAGGCAAAGGAAAGTTAAAGAAATAAAAGGAGTGAATAATAATAGAAAAGAAAAAATAATTAAAAGAAAAGGGGGAGAGAGAGAGGAGAATTAATACATTTTATGTTTAAAGAATACAATTGTCATAAATATGGCAAAAACTTAATGTTTTGTTAGATAGGTATTGGTTAAAAAAAGTGAAATGATAACACATGGAGAAAAATCAAGCATTTAATGAATAAAAAATTAAATGTTATCCTTGTTATGTTTTTTATTGTTGTTGTTAAAGGACCAGTTTTGAAGGAATCCAGTATTAATAATAACCATAATATTGAAGTGATTCTTTACCAACCCTACTCAAAAGTTACTCAAAAGAAAAGAGTTTGTGGAGAGCCATGATCCTGAAGGCACTTAAAAGAAGAAGAATGTAGAAATAATTAAAAAAAATGAAAATAAAAAACTAAAATAGGAAAGCAGAACTTTATTGTACAATTAATATTATCTTTTATTAATTTTAATATTGGCATTTTTTATTGAATTCTTTTTGGTTGGCTTATATTTAGAATATAATTACATGTATCATAATTCCCTTCCTTCCTTCATTATCCTTTATTATTGCAACAAAATTATAATGATTATTACTTTCCTTTAACATCATCACTATCATTTCAAAACTTCCACATTATCATACTTATAATTAAACTCTCTTGTTTTTATTATTATTGTCCTTCTTATTTATTATAAATTATGCTAGTCATTACTTATTACCCCTTTATCATTTTTTGTTGTTGTCTTTAGTCAAATTTCCAACTTCATCAATACAAATAGGATATACTTTGGCACATGATAGTTTTGAAACACCTTTATTCTGAAACATTTGATTTATTTTTTTCTTATATCACCAGCTGCAATGATGGCCATAATAATGATCTTATTTATTAGTTGAGTTAAAAATATTATGATGAGTAATATGTAGATTGTATTTCCTTTTTTTTTCAACATTTTTTTGTTGACTTATATGAAAATGTCAAAGGAGTAGTTAAGTTGCTTGAGAGATAGAAAAAACAGGCTTTATGCAAATAAGTAGAAAATGTTTGATATGTAAATTCAGAAAAAAAAATGATCAAAATACTCATTAAAGATATATCAAATAAGTATAAAGTAAATACATCTATTGTAGAAGCATAAAAATGTTGTTATAAAAGAAGTGATATATATATATATATATATATATATATATATATATATATATATGTGTGTGTGTGTGTGTGTGTGTGTGTGTATGTGTGTGTTTGTGTGTGTGTGTATTTTGAAGAACAGAAAAAGTGCAGCAAGACAAAATAGAGACTAATTTCAAATAAGAATTGAAGGAAATGTTATGAAGAAAATCTTATAAATGAGAATAAGGTATATAAGTATAAAATGGAGAAATGGCAAATAATTGGGAAAGAAGGAAGCAAAAATGAAATGTGGAAAATGATAAAATTATTAGCAAAATAAGATTAAAAAAGAAAAACAAAAGAAAAGCAAGGAAAATAGAAATAAAATAATAATAAATATACAGAAGAAAGAAAAGAAAAAAGAGAAAAATGTGAATTAAAAATAAGAATGAGAAAAGGAAAAGAGACAACAAAATAGAAGAAAAAACAAAAATAAAGTAAGAAGTAAAAGCAAAGAAATGAAAACAAATTTTAAAGTGCAAAACTGATAAAATAAAAGAAAGAAAGCAGCAAAAAAGAAAGATTATAAATGATAAAAGAAAAGCAAAAAAAAAAAATGAAGCTAAGTGACAGGAAAAAGATTTAAATAAAACTATCATTTATAAACAGATTTTTGACAGCCATTACTCAGATGATTCGTATATTAATTCAAAATTTGTGTTCAGTTTGCCTTCAGACACTTTAATTTATCAACAAACTCTTTGACTAAATTTCCCAAAATTCTACCTGCCATCTACTAACTTTCTCTTCTCTTTTATTAGCCTCTTTCTCTTTTTCTGAACCAGTTATTATCTTGTCACACTTCACGCCATTCTTTATTTCTCACTGATGAAATGGCTGCAAATATTAATCTGATAATTGCTCAAGTTTCATCACCTTAAACAGAACCATGATTCAGCCATGGCTACTGGGAGACAAAAGCTAATGCTAAAATGAATTATGAGAGTTCTATTGGAAGATTCCATTGTTCACACTTAATGAGAGAGTGGCATTAAATTATCTATTGGGATGAAATGTATTCTTTACACAAGAAAAAGAAAAAGAAAGGATGGATGACTGAATGTAAAAAATAAAATTAAAAAGTTAATTATTTCTCCTTTTTTTCTTGTGGACATGGAAATTGATTTTTTATGTTTATTAAAAAATACATATTATTGAAAAGTAAAAAAATAGGTATTTTCTTAATGTTTTTATTTTTATATTTTAAGATTGGATTCTGTTTTAATTTAAACTTTGATATTTTCAAAGCTTTACAAAATGTCAAAAATAAAATTAGAAATTTAGAAAGTATTTTATATATTTATGATTTGAAGTAATGAATGAATAAAACAAAAGTTACAAGAGAATAAAACAAAAGTTTATAAGAGATTAAATCTGAAATTTTTGGGTGAGATTTCTGAGCTGAAAGAATTAAACATTAATTCATTGGTAAAATGTAATCATATTAATATCCTTCTCAGTTCAAAATGAATGACTAAAAAGTAATTTTGATGACTATCCCACCCTCTTAATAATGAAAGCACTATGCCTGCTTTTTATTACACAGCATTTAAACGTTTAGAATATTTTTTCAGGAGTAAAGTAATGTTGAAGGCACATGCTAGAACCTTGGTTATAATCTTATTTCTTTTCTTTGAAGCATTCATTTTTATAAATCAAGCCATGGTTTCCTTTGTTGATAGTAAGTTTGGTTCTTATACTTATTGAATGACTGATCCTTGTTTTTATTATATCTAACAGCTTCAATAAAGAGAATAGATATCTAATTATAATTATTATTCATTTCAATCTTCATTTGACAATCTTGCTTCATATTCTTATAAAAGATTTGAATATAACTTCATATGAGCAAATTCCTTAAGAAATTACTTTTAAAAATCAAGATATTTCCTTGTTTTCTTTTATATATTATTTACATATAATCTGCTTAATATTGTTGCTTAATTTCAGTTAAGCACTCCAATAAAAACTGTCTTCATTTATGCTTTAATAATCAACATTTATGATTATTAACTCACTGAGTTTTCATACCAGTAATATTTGGCAACACTCACTAGTGATAAAGCAAATCTATTCAATAGTACAGTACTTTTCTTTGTAATCTTGCAGATTTTAATTATGATGTCATTAGTATGATTCTCGTTCTTTCTCAGATTTCAAATTCTTCCAGTTTCTATGTAAGGCACTTTGGAACAATTCCAAGCACTTCAATAATTCAAGGCACAATTATCACTTTCATGTTCCAACATTTTTTTCAGTTCTCTGGCAAACTTCAGCAATTTTCTTTTCCATTTTTCATTCTCACTTTCAGTCTGTGGTCTACTGGAATCTTTGACAATTTCTCTTTGTTTATAATAATTACATTGCTCTCCTAGTCTGGGCTGAGTGATCTATTTGAAATTTAAAGTTTCATAGAATTTTAATTTTCTATTACTTCATGCAATTGCATGCTCCCATCAGATGTATGGTGATCACCTCTGAAGAGTGAGTGACAGGAAGTTTCCACTGATTTTCAGCACCTTCTTTAGTTTTCTTACACATTCCAGCAATGCCATGCTTTGTAATATCAACCCTCCCTCAAACTTTAAATGCAATAAACCCTGATTCCAGTGTTTTGGGTACAATTCTAATTGCATCTACATTATGGGCATGATTTTTAATTTTCATATTCCATATATTCCTGATATTTCTTCAATTTCTCACTTTTCTTACATTCAATTTGTATTCTGATAGCACAGCTACATCCATGATCTGGCAGGTTACTTACTCATGATTCTCATCTTGCTATCACTGAATGGTTGGTTTGGATATTGAAATACCAAAGTATTTTGTGATTTTTGTTTTCCAAGACAATCTCAAGTTTGTGCTGATACCATTTGCATGTGTATTGAAACAAAATCATTTGCATAGTTCCCAGTGTATAACTCTTGCAATACTGTTGTGTCTTCTTTTGTATTCTTTTTGAACCAACATACTACATTCACTGATTATTTGGTTTACCATTTCATCTCTTTCTCAACAAAGGAGGAATCTGCTATTTATTTTTAGGTTTTGTCAATCTTTACTTTGATATAGCTTTTGCTGATGTACTTGTTCTGGGCTACAATAAGAGATTTCATATCTCTCTTTAGGTATCCTCCACATAGCCATGTCTATGATTTTGCTTCTGCAATAATTTTCTGCTTTTTAAATTAACTGTACAGTGATTTCTTTTCCAAGTTTCTTTTCTTTGTTGCAGTTTTCACTTTTTTTAAAATATTTTTTAAATTTCTTATTGCACTGTTTCAAGCAACTTTTATAAATTTTTGTTGCTGTGTTGTATTTATTTTGGGGCCATTTGAACAGAGTTTTTGGTGCCTTTGCCATTATCTAAATTTTTTACATATAATCTGTCAATGTCAACGTTGGCATGTAAATCTTTGTGAATAGTTATGTGTTTCCTTGTCCAGTGATACACTGATTGGAATTCTTCTTTAGTTCAGCAGAGGATCATTCCCAATGCCTCAACAATGATTGGCACAACTGTCAATGGCATGTTCCATAATTTATTCAATTCTCTGGTAAGCTCCAGATACTTATCTGTTTTTTTTTTTTTTACTTTCTTTTTCTTTTAATTTTACTCTGATGGGAGAGTAAAATTTACTCGATGACATGCTTTTTCTCTTCACTCAGTATAATTAGATCTAGTCTTCTAGACTTGATTAGATAAGCTATTTGAATTTCAAATTTGCAGAGGATTTTGTGCTTTTCATTTTCTAAGATAGATTTTGGTTTGAGCAACTATCATTGGTCAATATGATCAAATTGCATTCATTTGCACAACTTCCAGAAGACCACCCTTCCCACTTTGTGATGCTTATTTTTGTACACTTTTCTAAGACAAGTGTATTTACTTTTTTTACATTTTTATCTTTATTATTACCATTAAATAGTTTTTCTATTAGCAATGATGATTAAGAAATTAGAATAATTGCTTACCTGGGATAGTGTAACAAATAACCATCAACTCTTGTGATATATCACCTGTTCGATAAATTGGAATCATAACTTCTCCGACAGTTTCAGGAGTCCTGTACTCTTCCTCCGGGATGAAAATTGTAGATTCTGAATATATGGATAAATAAAAAAAATTAAACTTAGAAAAATAATCATATCAAATATTTCTTTTTTCCATTTGAAAAAAAAAAATTTAGGAAAAGTCAAAAGCATTTTTTCAATAAAATGTACTTGTTTATTTATTTTTCACTACACTAATTTAGAAGTAACTTATTCCAGCTTTCTAGAGTTCTATGAATATGGTGGATTCTGAAAAGTTCTTAACTTAAACTACTTCCCAAAATCTTCCCAAATAATCAAACATCAGATTTTTGTTGAAGGGTCATCTTGGTCAAACTGGGAAATTTTTAACCTTTTCACATATGCTAATGGGAAAATTTTAATAACTTAATTTTTATAAGCTGTACTATTTTTATACTGATAAAATCAGTAATACTAATGTAGAATTAATGTTTAAAATAAATATATGCATTGTAGAAATAAATAAAAAGTATAACAGAGAAAAAGTTTAGAAGGAATGAGGACAAATTTATAGGATTTATTAATGCATGTTATGAAATATAAACTCTGACATGATGACAAAAAGAATAAGACACCTGCATGGAATGAGATAAAATACTGGAGGTTTTATTGAAATGTCTAAGAAATACAAAATACCAGTTTCACATCACATATTTAAAGATCATTCTTGAATTCATAAAATCTGTAAATTCCCAAGAACTGCAGATATATATTCATTTTTATTTAGTGTATAATGAACGAATATCTATATAACACTTAAATATTACTCTTGATTATTATTATCATAAAAATATTATTTCTTGCTTTTAGGAAATTTTATTTCAACTAGTTCTTAAAATTATGTGCTTTTCTATTAAGACCAGTGCATCTATAATTTATAAATGATTACAATTCTATTCTGTTTCTTTATTTTACTCTACTTTTACTATCCCTAGACTTCTTTTCTTTTTCTTTTCAGCAAATCTGAATATTCTTCTTTTCAAGAAGCTTTACAAGTTATGGAAACAGATTGAATGATATATTAAGAGTTTATACATTAACAAGAAGAGAAAACTCTTGAAGAGTTGAAGAACTAATAAGAAGCGGAAAGCCTTGATTAAATAATAGCTACAAGGAATTGATAGAAATATGAAGAGCAATATTTTGCAACTCACAAAATCCCTGCATACTACATATTCAGAAATGCTGACTGCTTCTTTGACATACAGCAGCTGTTTTGATCTTTCACAAGGACATTAATACACAAGTGAAATAAGGAGTTGTGAATCGTAGTCAAATTTGATTCAAGAAATTGCCCTTTTTATTAAACTAGTTTCTCTGTATTATAAAATATTGCTGCAACATTTAAGTAATTTTGCAATTGCATTGGTTACATTTTATGAATGTATAATCTAAGATTTTGTCTATACAGTTAACACTTTATATATATATATATATATATATATATATATATATATATATATATATATATATAACAGCACTGTATGAAATAATTATTTTTAACTCATTGAAATAAAAAATATCCAAAGAAAGATAACACAAAAGAAAATCAATGTCTGTCTATATCTCTGAGATGAAGTATTATGATTACTTGCATTATTTACATTATTCGGACTGTTATCATCATCTGCATTGCAATATTCACAATGTTTCGGCCATTGTATGCTCTGGCCTTCTTCAGGTAGAATTTTGAACCAAAGACTTTATTTTGTCCGGTGGGGTAGATTATTCTACTTCCACATGCTATGCTTCTACTGGATGTCTTTAACTCAACTCTCTGAATGACATTTCACTTTAACTCAACTCTCCAAGTTTTGGTTCACTATTGCTGTGACCTGGTATTGAGCTCACAACTCTTTGGGTCTAGTCACTGGATCTAACCAACATCCATGTGTCCTTGAGGACATCTGTGAATGAATTTTTGGAACTTATGAACCTAATTACAATTTTTACCAGTGCTCATACTGCATTTTTTACCAGAGTTTATATTGCAATTTTTTGTTTTTATTCATTGCTTTTTTCTAGCACTCCTTATTACTGGTTCCTTTATTGTTTTCATTTCTATGCTTGGTCATCTCAGACAATTTTTGTGGCCTAGCATATGTGCTGATTCCTTAAGTTTTCATATTTTCCAGTGATGCTCTCTGTCTATTATTTCAGCCTCATCCCACAGTGGGCAGTGATCTCCATTTGCCCTCCATATGTGGTCAGCTATGCCTGATTTTTCTATTTCCTCTCATATTACTGCTTTACGATGTTTTTGCAGTCTTACCTTAAGTTGGCAGCCAGTTTTTTTTGTATTTCTTACCACAGCTACACAGGATGACATACATATAGTCATGTTCTCTATGGGGAGTCTTACTTGAAAGAGGTATTTGCAAAGTGTTGAACCACATTTGAAGGTTCTCCTGATGTTATATGAGTCACAAATCCTTTGTATCTTCTCTGATAATCCCTTCACATAGGGTAGGCAGATTGAAGCTGTTTTCTGAGTGCTGTTATCCTCTATCTCAGTTTGTTCAGTTCAAAATTTCAATTACCTGAAGAAGGCCGGTGTATACAATGGCTGAAACATTGTGAATATGACAATGGAGATGAGGAGTTCAAATAATGTAAATAATGCAAGCAAAATAAATTCTTTCATGAGATATCCAATGTCTTCCGTTAACATTAGAATATTTCATTTCATTAATGGGGATATCAGATTGCATGACCAATAAATATATAAAGTCACATTATGTTTTATATTGTAGAATTGTAATTACTGTTTTATAGTCCCTACTTAAATGCATGTACATTGTTATCCTTAGAATCCACAACATAGTTCACTGGATAATGAGGTAGTTATTACAAAATCATTCCTAAATAGTTGTTTTATAAACATACGCTTGTTTCAAACTTGGTAATCTCTTACAAATATTTATTCCATTATCCTTAACTGTGCATCCAAGTTTGTTCTTTTTTGTCATAAATATTCATCTTGAACAAAATCTTATAATGAAGTCACTTGTAGATATTTACACATCTAACCATGAATGGAAATATGGATGCTTTTCTGCCCTGAGAAACAGAATTTTCTATGATTACTACTAAGTAACAGTGTCTTTGAATACAAATGCTTCTTATTGCTATTTTCCATTTATTACATTTCCTCTTTCATTTCTTTTCATATGAAATATGATTATTATTATTATTATTGTCTACTCTTCTTTCTTCTACAAAATTTTATTTATTTAAAATTCCCACAGTTCCTTTACCATTTTCATGTTTCCTCTTACTATTCTTTTTTTCCTTTTTTTTTTCATGGTTTCTGATTTCAAATTATTTTCTGAGTACAGTACCAACAATAGTTGGAGAGTAGAGTGCTTTTGTACACTTTACATTCTTTGAGTTGGGGTAACACAAAAGTGTATATAAAAATTAGACTTTTTTCTTTTTATTTTTAAGCATTTCCCCCCAAGCAAGACAGGAGTGCCACTAGTATGCAGGGGGTCATGGAGAGTGAAATTGAAGGAGAAAGTATAGGTGTAGGGGGAATTGAGGAAAGGAAAAATAGACAGGGATCAAGGCAACAGAAGATGGCAATTGATGCTGCATTTAAATGTTTGAAGATTGTAGTTATCAGAGAAGCAAGTGAGAGAAAGGGAGTTCCAATGTTGGGAATTACAAGGAAAGAACTGTCAGAGTAGAAGTGTCAGTTACATTTAACTATTTCAACAGCAAATAGGTGGAACCTAGATGCCAATCTTAGTAACACACATAAATTAATGTAGTCAGGGCACCAGGGAAAACAAAGACTCATCAGAGCAATAGCCATGAACACATAGGGAAGCCGCATCATATCTGTGAGAAAGTGTCTGAAGTTGTGAAGCCAATTCAGGACCAATTTCATTATGATTTTGTCAAGAACCTCGAGATGAATAGCAGGGGCACCAGACCAGATATGGCAACAGTATTCAATGTAATGATGAATGGTAGATTTGTAGATGTGTGAGATGGACTCTAAAGAGAAATGTCTTTTGGTACAATACAGTTTACCAACTATCCTTGCAGTAGATACAGTTATTAATTCAATGTAGTTGCTCCACTTATTATTAAAATAGTTGTTTATATAACCAGTGACATCACAAGTTTATTAAACAGATTTATCAAAACTTTTATTCACTTTTATGTTTACATGTAGCAAATTCTGGTATTAGAAGTAATGAAAAAATAATCTTGTTTGTATTAACCTGATGACTACCTTTCAGTCTGATAGGTGTATATGTATCAGTCTTTTAACTGCTCTTGTCTAGTCAATTTTCGTTCATGCTTGAAAGTCTGAAAATTAACTAGGTCTTTATAACTAAAATTAGCCCTAAATAAGTTAAGTAGTGATCCTATAAGATATTTTAAGCAAAGGAAAGTAATTTTGCTCTTATCTTCTAAAATTACCACTAGTCAGATATAAATGCCAGTCATTTTGTACATTAATAAGATAAGAACATAAAAAATGAATTCTTGGCTTTTAACTTTTGATTAAAAAAAGTCTTTGCATCTAGAGAGTCACTAAAAATAAATATAAGATTTTATCTTTTCCCAGTGATTCACTAAATCAATTTTACGAGAGTTTATAGTTTTCTAACTTTTCTTTCTTACTATAGTTTTCTTGCTCATGTTTTTTTTTTATGTTTAAATGTAGTAAAATAATAAAAAAGAGGAAAATATACTTTCATCCTTTCTCTCCATAGGAAACACTTTACTTGAAAGAAAATTGAAGGAAAAGTATAGAAAAAATGAATGATGTAACTCTGAAAGAAATTTGAAATGAAAGAGCAATATAGGAAATATTAATACAGAAGAAATGAATGAAAGAAGACGTATGAGAGAAAGAAAATAGAAAGTAAAATAAAATCAGTAAAGGATAAAAGAAAGAAAATGAGAAGGAAATAAAGAAAGAAAATTAAAAGAAATGATCATTTTAAATATTTAGTAAATTATTGGAACTCTGAAAAAAAAAGAAAGGAAAAAGAGACACACACACACAC